TCAGAAAAATGTTTTAATTCTATCAATAAATTCGTTTTGTTAATATATTTAATAAATTATTTTGTTCTTTCAATAAAAACTTTTGTTAGGAAAACAAATTCGTTACTTTTGTTTTGTTCACAGTGCAAAATATTTTTTTTGAGTGTATTGTGCTAACAAACAAATTTTATTGTGGCAAAAAAATTTGAATTATATGCATGCGCGAAGTAAGCGAGCCGCGCAACGCGCCGATGCGATCAGACTGGATCGGATTCGTCGGGCCCATAGATCATATACTACTAGAAGGGAAATGGCCTATCCAAGCATTGAGTGGAAAGTGTAAGCAAGACTGAGAGACAAAAGATGTATATTTCTGTCAGATATATATTCCTGCTCAGTAACTTTTCTTCTTTCGATAAAAGAGGATAGAAAGATATATTTCTGCTTAGTAACTTTTTTTCTTTCTGCCCATGTGCCAAAAGAGAATAGAAGAGAACAGAAATACATCTTCTGTCTCTCAGTCTTGCTCACAGCTCGTCCGTATTCCTCCTCCAGTAGTATAAGCTCTATTATTGGACCACATTGGATCTCACCGTGACGATGCGCCTCAATTTTTCAATATAGTGGCAAGTGTGTGAAATGTGATAGAAGATCAACAATAGACACTGCAAAGGAAATTACTTGTAAAATGGAACCTGTTTGACGACGAAACATTGCACAAGGTAACAATATAGAATGATATTAATACTATTAATAGTTTTGGCGATTGTGTGCAAAGTAACCTAAATCAATTTGAAGATAGCCTTTCTGCTCTAATTTATGTTCTTCAAGATTTGTAAACTCACAGTAAAAAACAAAATATTCTTTGTTTTCTGCAGCAGATGTTTCTGTTTCCTGAGATTAGTGATTTAAAAAATCAGTGTCGATATTGACAGATCGTTTAACCGTGGCGTGGAATAGACGCCGGGCGCCATTTTTTGTCATTGTTCCTTCAATCATGTCATTTGCTCTAATATTGAAAATCTATTATTGAGAGGCCAATGACAGAAGACAGTAGTCGACGCGTAATATCCCTTTTGATCGTCAGGGTTCATACAGAAAGTTCGGAAATGGTGGAAGATATAAAAAATGATCAACTCTATAAAGTAAAAAATACGTAAGAAATAAAATTATACGATTTAAAAATATCTAATAGTAATAAGAGTTCGACTTTGAGTAGAGTCTATAAGATCGTATGAAGGTCAAATTGAATTTATTTAAATTAAATCCCCCATTATATATTCTTGTAGCTTATTTCAAGAGCTTTCCAAAACATTATTATAAAGTTCTTTTTTTCATTAAATAAATCTCCAGTTATGAGATTTAAAAGTTACAATAACACCGGAATTAGTTTTACTCAAGGTACATCGCGTGGAAGTTGCACGATGCGGATTTACACTTCTTGCCTATGTGTATGTGTATGTATATTAATAAAAGATGAAATATTTATTTAAGATGTTCAAAATAGATTTTTAGAAGATATATATATATATATATATATACCCATCATGAACAGAGTAGAGTGAATCGAACTGAGTCGAAAAGTCATCTATATTTTGCAGTTACGCAATAGTTAACGAGAAATTAATGTTTAAAAGCGAATACGTGCGTTCATCCGGCCTACTACTGTCGGAAGAATAGCCTACCGTCTCCACTGATCGCATAGCGCGCCGGCGGGGTCGCAAGGAGCGGGAATAGCCTGGCAGGCGCGCCGTTCGAGTTTAGTGGCTCGCGGCTGCTTCCCATTCCCCGCGCGCCAAGCTAATGATGGCGGATATTCGGCGCTTTAGAAATAATATCTTGAAAATTGGGAAATGATTAAGAACTCTTCGAAAACTCAGTTCAGTTCATTCTAAAGCATGCACATGTACATAAAGAAAAATGTTACACACACAGACACACACACACACACACACACACCACACACCACACACCACACACACACACACACATACACACACACACTAAATATTACTTGTTTCAAGTAAATAATAAGTGTATTTTAAAATTATATTATCAAGAAAATATTCTTTGTAAAGATAATCGTTACTCAAACAAAGAAGAATAAAAATTGCGTCCCCTCTTAGCACTAGATATTGTATTTTTCTACATGTACATTACCGCTCATGAAATTCGGATCCGATAAATTTCATCGAATGATCATGTAAAAGATTAAGACATTATAAAACAGCAATTGTACAGGGTGGGCCATCTATTGGTACGTTTTTAAAAATGCGATCAAATGAGCATACATTGATATTTTTTATTAATTTTTTTTTTGTTGTGAAGCTAAAAGTATCCGCGTCAAGAATGAAAAACGATTTCGTTCATGTGGCTCCCTCTACTGGCCTTACAGTATGCCATTCGGTCACCCCAATTATTAATGACATTTTGGACTATTGTTTTTCAAAGCTGGAATTGTCTCACACTTTGGGCCACAGCCTCAATATTCTCGGGTGTGCGCACTGTCCGAGCTCTGGGACCACTTCTGTCATCCACTAACATCCCTTTCTCACGAACTTTCCTCACCAATTTGCGTATAGCTCCTTCGGTGCTCCATATTTCTTTTCAAAATTCGTACAGTTTCGGCGACACAGCACTGACTTTGAAAATAAGTTTTTAAAATTTCAAAACGCTCTTCAAGAGAAAACATGTTGTTTCGTGCCGCGGACGGTATGACTAATAAACTGTCAAAATTTCGGGTCTGTAGCTCGTTCGGTGTTGCCATACGACGAAATTCAAAAACGTACCAATAGATGGCCCACCCTATATTATTATACACCTCGAGAAAAGTTTCTTCGATTTAAAGAAATGTTGTTTTGCTGTATGGTTAAAGAAAAAATTTCTTTGATTTGAACGTCATTTTTTTTATTGAAACATTATTTTATGAAATCAAATAAAAAAAATTATTTAATTTAAGGAAGTTATGTTTAGATCAAAGAAATGACATTCAAATCGAAGAATTTTTTTTCAAAACATTTTGTTATGACAACAAACCTCAATTATTTTCAACCAAATCGGTCAGAATAGAAAATCAAATTTTGTTGTTGCAACAAAATGTAAGTTACAACAACAAAATTCAAATCAACAAAATAATTTAAAACTGCCAATAAAATAAAAAGTCATGATCATATATTGATTATATATTGACAAACAAATTTTGTTATCGCAAAAAATTTTTGTTGTGATAAAATTTTTCTGAGTGCTGTTATTTCTGTGCCCAATTATCAGACTATAAAGTGTAATTCCGCGTAAAAAAGCGAAGAATTACATACTTTCTTGAAATACTACGGAAGAATAAAAATTAATTTGGCGTAGTTCGACATAGAAACGTTCAGGAAGTAATAATTATTTACGTATCTCGCGTAGTTATTTCTGTTTAACAACACGATTCTACACCACAGTTATAGAAAGGCGTACTTTTTGGCGCACTTTGACATAGAAATTTTTCCGTCAAGGTTTACACGTTTATAAAAATAATATCGTTCTCATCTTTCCCCTCTGTCATGCTATTTCTTTGTCTTTTATAAATTTTAAATATGTTAATTTCGTTCAATTATGAATTAAGAATAATGAGACTGAAATGAATATTGTACTCTTTGAGTATCGGATTGTTTTTTAATTACATTGATAAATTTATTAGAAACGTAAAAAAGCCAAATTAGATAATAATTATGTGTAAGTATTATTAAACCAGTATTGACATACAAATCATACAATTATTTCAGTACCACGAATTCTAAGAGCTTTTCTTATAATTCGAGTTAACGAAATATTTATTAGACTTAATTGGGTAAATGTTCCCCTTTATACAGCCAGAACCAAACGACCTCCGAGCGACCTTAATCCCCAAGAAGGTCAAGGTCATTGATCTTTTCCGTAGCTTCTTATTCATTAAAAGGTTATTAATGAAAACGTTTTTATGAATAGGACACTTTTTCAACACAACATACATATTCCAATATGAATGTATAACATTTTATTTATTATTTGACAATACATAATTTAATGAATATAAAAAAGTCATTAATTTAAAAAATTGCGGTATTCTGTCATTAAAATCATATTATTTTTTAAAAATAAATTCTGTTAAATAATGTTTGTAGTGTACTTCTTGTACACTAAATCGTGATAAAGCAGAAGGCATATCACGCCATAATCGCTTAATATTTTGTGTACGTATATCAGATTCAGGGTTAACATAATTAATAGAGTGATTAACGGTCTGATGCACATCAAGTTCTTTTAAAGGTACATATTATTTCCACAAATCACTATAAATTATACTGTCTGGTGCGAAATACGTTTCTGAAATATTCTCGTTAACGTTTGTACAGTACGATCTTTCACAGGAACAATAAAAAAAGATTTACTATTACGTTCGATAGCACCAAAAATCCATTTCCCACCAATTACCCGTCCTCCATTATATTTTCTCCAACTTTTGCTTCATCAACTTTCACTATCATGCCATGACCACCAAGCATACCAGTTTTCTTGTCTCATCCATTGAGCTAATAACTGGAAAATAACAAAAAATATAACAATTAAAATCGCTTTGCACGATTTTTCATCGAAAAATGCCCCCAAGCAGGGAGGACGTGGGATAGGTTAGGGTTAGGTTATCATATATTCATGAATATATAATATAAATCTAACCTAACCCTAATCAAATCTAAATGGTAGATAAATAGTTTAGAAGATCTTCATAATTGTAAGTTAAATGAAGAAAATCGTGGAGCAATATCTTTGCTCTATCAAGTCAGACAAAGGACTTATAATATATTAAAATAACAATGTTTCCTTTCCAATATTATTATTTTCAAATTCCTAATACGAACGTACAAATATCAACTTACATGGAGCAAAACTCATACTATTATATATTGCTGAAATATATACCATGTGTTCAAAAATTACTTATTATTCATAAAAACGTTTTCATTAATAACTTTTTAATGAATAACAAGCGACGGAAAAGGTCAATGACCTTGACCTTCTTGAAGATCAAAGTCAAAGTCAAGGTCACTCGGAGGTTGACTGTGTAAAAGGGAATATTTACTAATTTCTCTATCAATTTTATCTGCGCTATAGCGCTCGTAGCATTTATTATTTAATAAGTTTTATGAGAATCGCGATCGCGCTTTGTCAAAAAGTTATAAATGTTTACAACAAACACACTTCAAAAGCTTATTATTATCTTAATTATAAAATTGTTATTACCTTATAGATGTTCAATGATTCTATTTTGCTCTAACTTCTTGAAACAGACGGAGGAATAAGTTTGGATGCACGTAATAGCGGTACTAGATACAACTGTTTACTGTAAATTCACTTTTATCAAATATCAATTACCCTTTAAGTACGTATCAAGTCACATTTTTCCACGATGAGATTTTTCTTTTATAAATTGTGTCACATTTCAACATTGATACATTTCGATTACACTTGACAAGGAATTTATTAATTGATTTATCAGTTAATTACTAACAATTACAAACGATCGATTATTTATTGAAAATCACACAAAGAAAGAAACACGTTTGTGAGTTCGTAAACAACAACACAGCATAGTATTTATGTCACAAACATACTTTAATTAAAAATTTAACAGGTATTTCAGGTATTTACATCAAATTGTAAGAAACGCTTTTAGAATTCGACGTACTGAAATAATTGTATGATTTGTATATCAATAATTTTAACGCTTATCGTACGTAATTATTATTTAATTTTGTTCTTTTACAACATTTCTCTAATAATTTTATCAGTGTAATTAAAAAACAATCCGATATTCGAAGAATTCAAGGTTCATTTCAATTTCATTATTCTAATTTATAATTGAATGAAATTAGCATATTTAAAGTATGTGAAAGACAAAGAGATGATCTGACAAAGGAGAAAGAGAGAATATGTTTTTATAAACGTGTGAATGCGTCCGATCTGTACCTCGCGCGTAAAGTATCCGTGTCTAGAAATCCTATAATCAAAGTGTGGCGAATGTGGACCAAAAATGGCGGATAGAAAAAGATAACAGATTGCTTTCTCATATGAACGCATGTCTAAAAAGTATTAGAATACGTGACAGGCAATACATGACGACAATATCTGAATAAATCAATCGAGTTGATCAATTGGTCGAATTGTGCAATTGTAATTTGTTAATTTTCTCTTTATCCGAGATTTCGAAAAGATTTCTAACCTCTTTGACACAGATTTTACTCATCTGCTTGTTTATCTATTTCTTTCTTTTCTTTGCACTCGTTCTTTGACAATGTACGAAGTTATCTGAAGAATATCGAGTGGATTAAAGTTGAGAACCAATCAGAAGTTGTCCGTTTTCATCAAACTCTGATTATAAGAGCTCTATCTGCGTTTAACCGTGAGCGCTGCTCCTGTTCGTTTCTTCTACGCGGTCCGTGATACACTAATTATTTCTTCTTGTAATTTGAAAACTAAGCTTCGGATAAAATTTTCATCAGGGAAAAATCATCTTAGAATTAGGTCAGAAATACATTTTTTCGAATACCCGGGTTGTTTTGGATCACCCTGTATACCTATCAAAAATATGTTTCTGTATTCAAAATGCTTACCCAGGTGGCAGTGAAGACAAGATTCGAAAATCTCTGCAGACCGATACGGGATTGCCAATCTCAGGTAACTTGTCAGTCGTATTCGGCGAGCCCGTAAGAGCTGAGGATGACGGAGAAGTTGAGGACGCGTCGCTAGTCCTCTCAAGACCACCAGTAGATGATCGGCCGAGAAGCAGCGGCGTAGCGCTTCCTAAACCCAAGCATCGCATTCTCCACGCATCCTGCAGCAATTGTAACCGTGCTTGCTTTCTCCACTTTGCCCGTCTGTTTTGAAACCATACCTGTGAAGAAACTTCACTTAATTATTGGACTTATATAAATTTCATTCTCTCTCTTTCCCGCAAGAAGAAAAAATGGATATTAGGATCAGGGAACATGAATTATTGTTGCGTCTGAATAAAAATAATCTCGAAGGTATACGTACATACGTATCTATTACGCTGTTTGTAGTTCGATTTGAAAATACGGATATTCGATTAATTCGACTAATATTATAATTCAGTTACATAATAAAAAAATTTTTCGATTTTTCGAATATCATCAGTTGTCAGATAGGTTTTATTTTATTATTTCTAAGTATCTCAAAAAAATGTATATACTTTTCGAAAATAATTGAGAATTGAGATCTATTTTTAATCTGAATAATAAATTTTATATGAATTCCAACTTTTAATCATTTTATAATTCAATGTCGCAATGAACAAATTATGGAAATTGCATAATATGATATTATAAATATACATACATAACATAGCATATATATACAATTATTTACTTAAAATTTTGCCACGCTGAAAGTAAATTTTGTGTTGTAATATTTCTGCATCATAATTTAGGAAGAATTAAGGGGATAGGCGGAATAAAGGCCGAATTACAAAATGATGAATTTTTGATAAAAATTAAAATAACTTGCTATTTTTTATTATACAAATGGGTACAGTCAAATGAATTTATGTAATGTCTTTAAGAAATTAAATGTTGCAATGCTTCTCTATTACAATCAATATTATATTAAAAAAGTTTAAAAAAATCCTAAGTAGAATCATGCTTTTATTTCGCCCCAATTATGCATTTTTATAAGCACATGTATAAATTAATTTGATATTCCTTTATGCACAATTATATATTTTTAAATAGTTGAAATATTTTTCCTAATTACTGAACAATTTCTTTCTAAATTTAATTTTGCAAATATACCGCTATGATTCACCTCAGCACACATACAGATATATAATATCTCAAACACGTAACTCATACATTGTTTTAATTTTTTTACTCGTAACAATAATTATGTCAAAAATAATGTGAATTTACGGAGAATGTTCTCAAAGTTGTTCCATTTTACGTATAGTAGTTACATAACAGTGATATGATTTAAATACGAAACGGCGACATGATTACTACATAATAATTATGTATTGAGATGAAATGCATAAATAATATTTATGGAATGCAAAATTTGTCACTGTGACATCACAAATGGGTAAAATTGTTATTTATTTGTTATTTATTGACATTAACTCGATTTTTTTGGATTTGAAGAAGTTGTTTGTTATTTCTTGCTTATACTACATGGGCTGAAAAGTCTCGGGATTTTAAATGAAAACAAGCGTTTTATGGGTAAAGTTATATTTATTTTTCAACATATGCACATATTTCAACATGCCTTCGAGGGCGATACACTTGGTATAGCGATTTTCCAACATTTCGATGCCCTTTCTGTAGTACAAAACGCCCAGGCCTTCGAAATACGCCTCGGTTTCCGCGATGACTTTCTCATTTGATGTGAATTTCTTTCCCTGGAGTCACCGCTTGAGGTTTGGGAACAGATAATAGTGGCTGGGGGCCAAGTCTGGAGAATACGGGGGGGGAGCAACCAATTCGAATCGTAATTGGTCCAATTTGACCATCGCTTTCAAGGACGTGTGTGACGGTGCGTTATCGTGATGGTACAGAACTTTTTTCTTCGCCATATGGGGCCATTTTTTCTTTATTTCGTCGTTCCGTTTGTCCAATAACGCTGCATAATACTCTCCCGTAACTTATTCTTCCCTTCTGCAGGTAATCGATGAAGATTATGCCATGCGCATCCCAAAAAACGGAGGCCATAACCTTCCCGGCCGAGCGTTGGTCTTTTGGTCGGCTTTCGTGGCTTTTCGGTCACTCTGCAGACTGCCTATTGGACTCAGGCGTATGGTAATGGATCCACGTCACAAAACCTCGAAAAAAGTCCGCTCGATTACGCTGCAACAACGCCAAACCGGCCATTGAATCATCAACGCGCTGCTGTTTTTGGTCGATGGTCAGCAAACGTGGCACCCATCGTGCCGATAGCTTTTTCATCTCCAAAACATCGTGCAAAATGTATCCCGCCCATTCTTTTGAGATGCCTACGGCCTCAGTTAACTCGCGCAACTTCACTTTACGATCACTCAAAACGATTCGATGCACTTACTTTGCGATTTCTGCATTCGTAGCCTCTTTTGGCCTTCCAGAACGAGGTGCGTCTTCGGTGCTTGTACGACCCATTTTAAATTCACTAAACCACCGATAAACTGTTGTTCTCGAAGGAGCAGATATGGGTTAACATTTCTGTAACCATTTCAATGATTGTTCAGAAGTTTTCCCATCAAAAAACAATGTTTGATCAAGATGCGATATTCCTGTTTTTCCATTTTTTTTACGAAGGCGAAAGTAACGCCACTTAAACGACTGTAGCTTGTAAACGAATGAACGAAATGTCATGAAACTTCATACATAAACTAGTGACAGATGAATCTCTCGAAATGAATCATGTTCATTTTCTAGTGGCACCACCTATTGAAAAATCCCGGGACTTTTCAGCCCATGTAGTAGAATTAAAAGAATAGTTTGTATTATATAATTTTGCAACTTTTTTTAAATAAAAGAAATATATTTTTAATACGTAACAAAAAATTTTCTTTAAAGAAAACTATTTTTTTGGAGGATATGCAAAGTCCCGAAAAAAAATGTCCCAAAAATTGAAAATTAATTTTCAATTACGATGATGTCCCATATAACTCATTTTGCGTTAATAATATTAATATCTCTACTTTTAGGGTATATAGAGAAAAAATAAGAAGCAGTAAAACCGGTTTAAAAGGCTTTTTGAATAGCTTCATCAAAATGGTCATTACTGTGCCACAAAGATGAATTCTAATTTATGAGATTTTAATATTAGTTTATAATCTATATATTTTTTTCAATTCATGATAATCCATACAAAAGGCTTCGTGTGTTAGTATGTGTATATGCGTGCGTGCGTGCGTGCGTGCCTGTGTGTGTGTGTGTGTGTGTGTGTGTGTGTGTGTGTGTGCGCGTGCACAATACGTATTATACATATACTTGTTGCTCACATCATCATGTTACACAATGAACGTCCGTACCATAAGTACATACCTTCTGAATGTAGTTGCACTAAATTATCGATTTTGCAGTTGATCGTCACGATCGTGTTATATTTCGGAGTTCTCGTCATATTTCGATTACGCAATCATTTTTATTGTTATCTTAAAAACGTCTGTTTCTTTTCAAACAATTTAACATGAATCCAAATACAAAAGATCATCATTATTCTCTCGATAAACACGAATTTGATGGATATTCATATTTGCGATAAAGTTTATCATAGAAAATGTACGACCACCATGTACGTATAATATTTCGCTTATCTCGATAATGTATTATTTGATTCTTACTGTAAATTATATAATGTGTAATTTATATTTATCTAATTGTTAAATACAGATATTTATCATGTAAATATAAAAGAAAGGATGTTCTGGACGAGGAAAGTTGAAACATAATAGATTTTGATAAACAAAGAGACACGACCATCAGCTGATGATTATGCAGAAAATATACGATTATTTAAAGAAACTTTAAAACGAAACGTTCAGAACAATTTCCGAAATGTGAAAAATATATATGATGATGTGAGCAGAGAGTATGTGTATAATATGTGTTGCTCACAATTTATTACTTATTAAAACTCTTTTTCCTAATTACATCTTTTTAGATATGAAAATATATCTCCTTTAGTCTCCATTTCAAAGCGTAAAAAGATCGATGGTACGATGGAGAAGATATTAAGACCTTCGTGTCCTACATCATTGCGAGATTTCGCGAAAACATTAAAAAGGAAATGGAAATATTTATTGAAGTATAGTAAAAAAATGTTCCTTAAGTATTAAATCTATAAGATCTGAAGATCGTAGCAAAATGAATTTAATAATACTTGATCAAAAATTTATTCGAATCTTATGCAAAATAGGAACTTGAAGAAATATCAGCTAACGCTACGTTTAAAACTGCTCCTATTTAATTAGAAAATTAAAATAAAAATTCAACTGTGTTAATAAAACGCGACAACTTTTTACATTGATGGCTTCAAAATTTAATCGTGTAAGTCTCTTAAACATTATTAATAATATCTATGAAAAGTACAATATACATATATATATATATATTAGACTGATAAGAAAAAAAATTTTTTTTTTAATGGCCTTTCAGCTCAAAAGTTTCCATTTCATGCCAAAAAAACACCCCTAAATTTTTATTTAAAAAAATATTAAGATTTAAAGATCGCTAGTAAGCGATTTTTAAATCAAAGTTTCGATTTTCTTTAATACATGTTTGATTTGATGCAAAAATAGCTTAATCTGGATTTTAAATGTGATGCTATATGTCTTTTTGATCTGAACATGATGCAATAATTTATTCAAAGTCGATTTTAGCAAGGCTCCAAGTGTTCAAATGGATTGTTACTTCCCTTAAATGTAGGTCTGTTCACTCAGAACAAGATCCAGTTAAAATTTTTCTGGAATCTCCTCCTTTAAAAATTTTATTTAACACACGTGTTTGTACATACTATTATGAGTATTGCAGGTAATATGAGCATCCCTTATATTTCAGCAATGGTTGGTATTATTAGGTGTTGGAATTAATTCGTAGCGTTTTACAAGTGATGGGAAGTACTTTCATTAATGTATTTTTTAATGCTCATGTGAAATAAATAACATTCTTTCATTAAAAACGCTACGAATTAATTCCAACACCTAATAGTAGTGTTACGTCCTACAGACGCCACGATTCTTTTCTTCAGCTCTACGTCGCGACTATGATTGGCGTCTGTAAGACTCGAGCGGAGCCTTGTTATAACGGTCTGACAAAATTGAAAAGAGGGATCGGATAGACTCCGCGAAAACTCGTAAATGCCAATCAACCCGGAAGGAATAACAACCTTAATGCAGGCCCAAAAAGAAACAAGATTGCAAAAGACATTATAAATGCACCGAAGTCATGCAATAGTAAAAATCTAGGCTTTGTCATCCGAAACTGACTAACAATTTCATCTTAGAAAAACAGACTTTACGTCGCGCTTAAAAAATCGTAAAATGCATGGGATAACTTCCCATGGTAGCGTTATCTAAGATCAGACTCGCGGCTGACAATGGTAGCCCTGCACGCAAACCTAGTTGTGCACGGTAATCATTTGTTTACCTAGCCGTATTTTCCGCGAGAATAAAAGAATTGTCATCCGTCTGGAGCAATCTTGGCTCTTTAAGGAAAAACGTAAATCACTTCTTTTCTTCTCGAAACTACTCTAACGATGTACTTTAGATTAAAAACGATAGGACGCTATAAAAATCGTAAATCTCGCGTGACATTGCAACTAACTTTTGCATCCTAGACAAAGGGCACAACGCCCCTTTTTCGGGTATAAATAAAGGTCCCGCGAAAGCGCAGAGCATCAGTACGAAATTTCAAATCACCCGGTCCACGTCAGCGAAGTTCGCGGTCAATTACGAGTTAACCCATTGTCACGGACAGTGCGGAAATTATTGAAATCCGCGCTAATCACACCAGTTCGCGATCCCGTCCGAGTGTGAACTTGTAATCAAATCGCAATTGAAGTTAGCCGTACGCCACGGCGACTGCTCTTCAGACGCTCTCCGCGGACGACGGATCTCCTTCGTCACCTACCCGATCTCCTTGGAACCTATCCAATATCTTGGGTCCAGCTAATAGTAAGTCGCTATTTCTTTCCACCGCCGCGTTTCCCCGCATGGAAACACATTCATTGTACTTAAATACATTTACACGCATTTCCAACGAACACACATCAATTTTAACCCTTCGATTCGTAGTGCGTTAGGAAACGCGGACGAACCTCCTATGTCCGGAGGAGTAGGCGGAACCGTTCCTCAGGGCCACCCACAATTGCGCCGCCACACCGACTGGCGAACTATTCGCCGAGATCTCCTATTCATCAACAGAGGCACAATCGTTAGATCTCACCTCTCCTCTTGTCATCGACCCTGCTATTCAGGAAATCCTCGGTTATTCCCCTCCTCTTCTCGAGAAACGATTCCCTCCCCCTCTTTCTCACGAAGAAGGATTCTTACTCCCTCTTCCTTTGGATCAGCTCCCGCCCCTCCCGTTTCAACCGAATCCCGAGCCGATCGACTGGGATCGGATGTTCAGGCTATATTCGTCCCCCAACGAAGGGGACAGATTAGTCCCGTATACATCCCCGGAAATCCCACACCTTACACCGTTCTCTACAAGCACCTAATTCCGATGTGCTCCTGCAACACTTTCCTCGCCTCCCATATCCATTAACCCTTTCCTCTCCCACACACACACACACACACACACACACACACACACGCGCGCGCGCGCG